TTTTTTTTTTTTTTTTTTTTTTTTTTTTTTTTTTTTTTTTTTTTTTATCCCTCTGTAGCAGCCACAGAGGTGACAGGAATGAGGGTAAAATGATTTCCCTCAGCTGCACCCGCCTCAGGCCTCAGGGAGCTTGGAATGTTATTTACACCTGGCTCTTAATGGCTCATTAAAGCAGGCCCTTTAGCACCTCTGCTCACAAGCCTGGTAGTGAGACCTGCCCTCCCCACAGAAGGGAGGGCACTGCAGTCTCTCTTGGCTTTCTCTTTCCCAGGAAGCTCAGTGACAATGGTGTTGGATAGGGCTTCCTGAGGTGCTGGCTTTGTGGGAGCCTGGCCAATGCCTCCTCTTCCTCTTTGTGTACCGATCTGGAGGTTGAGTTAGAGGCCTCCCTGAGCTTGCTAGGTCCTAGCTCCTCATGGAGCTAGGCCATGGGCTCCTCAGACCTTCAGGACCTTAGAACTCTCTCAGAGTTGGGGGTGGGCTAGGGTGAGAATGGCCTGTGAGAACAGACCTTCAGCCTGCTCATTTCTGCATTCATATTCACATTCATGTTCTCTCTCTCTCTCTCTCTCTCTCTCTCTCTCTCTCTCTCTCTCTCTCTCTCTCTCTCCATACAGTCTGGATGACAGAAACCATAGGTAAGAGGACCTTTGGGAGGGCGCAGGAGATCCAATGCCCCTGCCTGCCTGCTGGAATGATGGTCAGGAAGGGTAGCATGCATGGCCAGATTCTTCCCTCCTCTCTACAATTTAGCCATCCCGGGGGCAAGGAGAGATGGGGTACACAGTGGTTGGCCTTAAGGCCCTTTCAAGCTGAGTCAGGGGTTTGAGTCACCAGTGGAGGGGTTGGAAACCAAGTCCGTCTGTGTGCACAGTGCATATGTGTTCCTACATGTGGGCGGGCCCTGTTCGTGAGTTCACGCAGAGATTGCCATTCCAGCAGCCAGGAGGTAGAATGGACCTGTGGATCAAGAGAACAGAAGAGAATTAAAGGCAGATTATGCCGAGGGACAGGGAAGCGGTCAGGGGAGACCTCCTGAAGGAGGTGGCACGTCAGCTTGGAAATGGATTTTGAAAAGTTGAGAGGAAGTGGCGTTAATTTCTAGGCTGTCTTTGGACAAATATGGGAATCAAGGTTAGGGAGTTGGGAGAAAACTGCACATGAACTTTCTGGGCTTTGGGGGTCCATTTGGTGAAAAACAGACTTGGAACAATGGTGGCGGTCGACCTTTGAAAAAGAAACCCCAAAGCCCAGGCTTATCCACTAGAGGCTCTCTGGTGGGGACCGAGCCATGGACCACTCTGAGTATCATAGCCATGCAGCTGCCGCCCTTGTGAGATTGATGCTGCACACGGCCATGTGCCAGAGGGATGTATGTGCAGCTGCCGAGTGGATCCAGCCTCTCGATCCTAACCCCACTCCCTGCGGAATGGGCAGCCTTGGCCTTGGATAATGGGGCAGGTTGATAAAAGCAGTATTCTGACCCGTGCTTGTGTTTTGCAGGGGATTCTGGTTTTGCTGATAGCAATTCCTTGGAAATCACAGGTGAGAGGGGAGCTGGAGCCACCACCTTGGGATGGCAGGGTGGCGGGTACTGCCGTGAGAGCTCTGAGACCTGCTCTGTAGCTGGACTTCATTCTGTGTGGTTTTGAGTATGTGGCTTCTCTGAGAAAGCTGTGCGCTGCCTCCTTGGAGGATGGCACTCAGGCCCCCAGAGAGAGGATGGTACATCCGTCATGCATGCAATCATGTGCTGTGGGGGAGCTAGGGGTGTCTCGAAACCCCTTCATGTATTGTGAGTGCAGAGTTCTGGATTACAGGGTCTTTCTTTGGTGGCTTTGAACATCCCTCCCGCAGAGGTTCTCAGACTTCAGGTTTGCACTCCAGCTGCCTGGAGGGGCCCATGCACCACTGTGAGCAACACAGCCATAAGCCGCAGCCCTGGTGAGACTGGAGCTGCAAGAGGCCATGTGCCAGGGGGATGCTTGATGACTGAGTGAGACAAAGACTCCCCATCCCATCCTTGCTCTCTGCAGACTGGGGAAAGTGCAGATTCTGGGGTTTCTACTGATGTAGGCCCCCGAAGCCGGGGCGGATGCATGGCCAATCATTCTCCAAGTGAGAGGGTGGGGCCCTATCAGGGAGGCTGCTGTGCTCCCGTGACATTGCTGGAGCAAAACAGCCCAGACAAAGAGATGCTGTCACTGCGAGGCTGTGACAATCTGGAGAGCGCCCCATCTTCCGGAGATTTCTATCAGAACAATATTCATAAAACCGTTTGGGGAAGAAAAATGTTTATGTTTTTCCGAGCCTACACCGTGTTATTAAAATAAAAGAGGAAAATAAAAGACAGGAAATGGCTTTTCCCTCTAGGAAGCTTTTTTTTTTTTTAATTGATTTTCAAATTCCTCTGTACCCTTTGTCCCTTTCTTCTTCCTACTCTGTGAGAAAAGCAAGGCAGAGTTAACCAAAGCCCAGAGAGGGCAGTAGCTTGGCCATCCGGGTCAGAGGGAGATGGGGGAGGCATTCCGATTTTCTGAACTGTTCAGGAGCCTTTGCAGCGAGGTTGCCAGCAGCAGCCTGAGACACATTTTTTCTGACTAGGAGACAGTCTGGTGACACCGTTAACACTGAAGTCCTGGGCCTGCTGGACCCCCTTCTTGGCTTGTGTCACAGGTGTCAGAGAAGCTGTGGGGACCCTCCCCTGCTGAGCAGATTGTTCTCCTGGGCAGGTCCCTGTTCTGCCATTCCCACCAGCCCAGTTTCTCCAAGCGCTAGCAAGGTTATATCCAATGCTCTTGACTGAAGGCAGTTGGCCCTACACCATCCGAGTCTACCACAAGAATAGGATGTTAGTTAGAAAAGTGAAGGCTCTTCCCCCCTCCCTTCTACCCTGCACTGGCCCACCCCCTCCTCATTGAGCTCCCTAGAAGCCACCTTACTCACAGAGGACAGGATATTTTCTAGAAGTATGTGCTCCAAACTCCCTACCCACTTTGGTCTCTTACCGTACACAAGTCGCTGGTCTTTGAAACCCATAAACTGACTATATCAGAGACTGTAGGATGAGGCCCCAGAATCTGCACTCTACTGAGCCCACAAACTGACCAGGAGTGCACAGCTGAAGTTAAAAACAAAACAAAACAAAACAAAACAAAACAAAACGCTGTTCTGTTCTCTGGAGATTTAAAACTACCCTGAGCCCTGTTCCTTTTGATGTTTCCTAAGAGATGGGTAACTCTTGGGCTGCCAACTAGGGACAAGAATCTGGAGCTAGCTAGAAGAAAAGGCCTCCTTGCCCTGTGCTTCCCTGGACCTTAGTGGTTCTCACCGACTCATAATGACATGATGTCATTCCAGGCTGAAACAACCCACTCACATAAAAAAATAGCCTCCACTCTGCTTTGTAGGTAGCAAATGCCCTTTTCAGTAACCGTGACTGTTCTGTCCCTCCAGCGTCCCACACAATGGCTTTAAAGTCAATCCAAAGGGAATGAATGCACATTGATGACAGGAGACAGACAAAACCCTGAAAGGCAAAAGGAAAGCAAGGAAACACCAACAAAGGCCCTCCAAGATTTGTAAGGTTGAAAGGAAGAGAGAGTAGGCCTGGGCTTGCTAAAATGCAATGAAGTCAGGTGCCCCATCCATGTGAGATGTTCCAGCTGCTGGGAGGCTCAGAGTTCTGCACTCAAGTGTGCCAAATCCTCTCACCCCACCATCACTCAAGGAGGTCTCGGACATGCTGGATGCCGTGTTAGGGTCCCTGAGGCTGGGACTGGGGTGGGGTTTGGAAGCAGCATTTGTGGCGAGTTTCTAGGTGGTTCTGTCTGCACATTGACCTTCTGAGAAGTGCTGATCCAGGGCCCCAGGGGCAGGCTCCGAATCCTCTTCCGGTGAGTGTTTGGGAAGATTGCAGGAGAGATACAGGCATGCTGGACCCTTGGCTAAGGGGTCAGGGTTCTACCGCATCCCTGCTGTCATTAGTGAGGGATGAATGCCAGGTCTTCAGCAGTCACTCCATCTTGTGCCTTCTAGCTCGAGTCTCCAGGTGAACACGCAGATTTTCAGGAATTCCCACTATGAAGTCATTCTCAGAGTCCCTTAAAGTCATTCACATACCTTGCTTGGCTTTCTGTTCTCTGCAGACATGGGGGTCGTGGGCCGGAACTGCACAGAGGATGGCTGGTCAGAACCCTTTCCCCATTACTTCGATGCTTGTGGGTTTGATGACTATGAGCCCGAGTCTGGGGATCAGGTAAGTCAGATGGTAGGTTAGTTCTGAGGAGCTCGGGGCTCTGGGCAGCACTCATGAGCACCCGCTGTATACTGAGCCTGAAGCATGGAGGTTAGGATGTTCACTCACCCTGCTGGGGGCGGGGGTTGTCCACCACAAGTCCCCTCAACCCTGGCTGCTCTTTCAGGACACTGCCTTGCATATAGCCCAAAAATTGAGGGCTTGATTCTGGGGCTAGCAGGGAGTTTCTTCCGCTCTTCTTCAGGTGGCTAAGGCTGCATTCTGTACAGATTGATCAGGGCTCTTGCCTTCAATACAGTCTGAACATGTTTAGAGTACTGACCCTTTGCCGAGAGGAGCAGGCATCCAGCAAGAGTGGAGTGATGGCAGAAAAGGGGGAGGTGTTCGGCCTGTAGATGGGCAGGCCCTGGTCTGGGATGCTAGGTGTGGGTCCTAGGGAGGCAGTGGCTGGTTCCAGGTGGAGCCCTGTGTGTCCTGTGCCCTGCCCTGCTCCAGGATTATTACTACCTGTCGGTGAAGGCCCTCTACACAGTCGGCTACAGCACGTCCCTTGTCACCCTCACCACTGCCATGGTCATCTTGTGCCGCTTCCGGTGAGAGCCCAGTGCTTTTGCAGCCAGAATCGTCCATCCTGCTCCAAGTGCTTACCTCTCTCCATCCCTGGAATGTCCCCTGGAAGGCAGGCCCTGTCCTTAGCATAGTAGATGGGTGGCCTGGGAGGGCAGCTCAGGCATTTAGGACCACATGGTCTGCCAAGTGCCTTCCAGAAATCTCCTTTGCTTGCCTTAATCTCCCTGGTAGAGAGGCTGGAGAAAGGAGAAGTCTTGCCAGCAGATGACCAGATGACCATGGTGGGGAAGGCAGAGGATTATTAAGATGGGAGGAGAGGGTGGTCTGGGAGAGAGACCCCATTAAGACAGGCCCTGAGTAGGCCCAGAGCAGATTCTACCCCCTACTCCCCGCAGGGTGTGAAATGCCATGCAGCTCATGGCCTTCCCACCCTGGTCTGTGTAGGAAACTACACTGCACCCGCAACTTCATCCACATGAACCTGTTCGTGTCCTTCATGTTGAGAGCCATCTCTGTCTTCATCAAAGACTGGATTTTGTATGCCGAGCAGGACAGCAGTCACTGCTTCGTCTCCACCGTAAGTGTGCCAAGCACCCTAGCCACCCTGGGACTCTGCCCTGTTAGCACCCTAGCCATCCCGGGACTCTGCCCTGTTAGCACCCTAGCCACCCCGGGACTCTACCCTGTTAGCACCCTAGCCACCCCGGGACTCTGCCCTGTTAGCACCCTAGCCGCCCCGGGACTCTGCCCTGTTAGCACCCTAGCCATCCCGAGACTCTGCCCTGTTAGCACCCTAGCCACCCCGGGACTCTGCCCTGTTAGCACCCTAGCCATCTGGGGACTCTGCACTGCTAGCGCCCTAGCCACTCTGGGACTCTGCACTGCTAGCACCCTACAGGGAGTTGTTCCTGCCGGTGAAAACCTTATCCCAGGTCATGTGAAAGTTCAGGAGCTTTGCAGTGGTTACAGTACTCAGTATATGACTTCAGTCCCAGCCAAAACACAGTCAAGCCTGTTGTGGGATATTTATACACTGTGTGAAGGTGTATTGCTGTGATTGGTGTAATAAAAAGCTGAACAGCCAATAGCTAGGCAGGAGGTATAGGCGGGATTTTCGGGGAGAGAAAGGAAGAGGACAGGGAATTGAGGCACAGAGGAGAAGCCAAGGAAACATGGAGGGAGGTGGACATACAGAATGAAAGAAGGGTAAAAAGCAACATGGTAAAGCATAGGTTATTAAAGGCAGGCTCATTTAAGTTTTAAGAGCTAGTCGGTCAAGCCTTAGCTAAAGCAGAGCTTTCATAATTAACAATAAGTCTCTTTCTTGGTCACTATTTGTGAGCTACCAGCCCAAAGAAAAATCCAGCTACACAGACCCTCAGCCTGGACCTTGGGCCAGGAAGGCCGTGTGAGGATGAGGCTCAGTCAGGGCTTACCCAGTCCTTTGCTCTGTAACCAGCCATGTGGAATCTTGTGCCAGTGTGCAGGGTCTTTGCAGACACCTTCCCAAGCACAGGTGTGTGAAGGAGGTATATGCAGAGAACTGGCTTATGATAGAGCGGGATAAGAACAAGCTAAACATGGGGCCTTCACTGGAAGGGTATGTTTTAAGGATCTGTTTGAGAAGAGATTTCCCATGGCCAAGGTGTGTCTCTACCTGTGATGTGTCCAGCTCCTCATTTTGTAAGCAGTCTCCTGTGAAGATTGCTGGTCGTTTCTCTTCCTGTTTACCTGGCTTGCAGTGCTGGGGCGAGGGGTGGGAAGGAGGAGCTTGGAGCTTTAGCTTGTTATCACCTGTCCTTGTACATAGCGTTTTCCATGCTGGGAAGCTTCTCCTGAGTCCTAGGATGCTGTGTATTCTGCCTCTTCCACCCAGGAATGCCTATAACCTTAGTTCCTTGGGATGCCTGAGGCTGAGTATGCCAGTACGGATAGACCTCAGAATTTCCCCATGTTGTGTGGAGCCGGATTTCAGGATTTATCTGGGGGCAGGGCAGAGATCTCAACTGTTCCTCTGGCTGTCACTGTAGGTGGAATGCAAAGCTGTCATGGTTTTCTTCCACTACTGCGTGGTGTCCAACTACTTCTGGCTGTTCATTGAAGGCCTGTACCTCTTCACACTGCTAGTGGAGACCTTCTTCCCCGAGAGAAGATACTTCTACTGGTACACCATTATTGGCTGGGGTAGGTTCCTGGCTGGGTCAGTCTGGATGGGCTCAGGCCTCCTAGTCAGTTGTACCTTTGGTTCCAGGTTTACAAAACATCAGGTAACAGAGCCCTCACCTCACAAGAAGGATGTGGACTTCTTGTTTATTCTGAGAACCATTTTCTATTTTACTTCCTTCCCTTGGGGACCCCATTTTCTGAGGGAGAGCTATACCCAGGAATCGTCTTGGGAGACCAAAGGGCCTAAAGCTGGGGGAGATGGAAGGAAAGCTGGAGATGAGGTATAATAGGGTCCCCCTAGAAATCCCTGTCCCAGACTAAAAGTACCCCAAGCAAGTTAGACTTCCTTTTGTCATTCTTCAGGGACCCCTACTGTGTGTGTGACTGTGTGGGCTGTGCTGAGGCTCTACTTCGATGATGCAGGGTGAGTACCTCTGGAGGAAGTCAGGCTGTGTGTGGTACTGAGGACATTTCAGGCATGGGCTTCAGTGCCTGCCTGGTTTCACATGACCTCCCCAGTGTTGTTCTGAATAAACCCCAGCCCTGGGCAGCACCTGACTCCTCAGCCTGTTTGATCAGAACTGTCTCAGCCCCAGACCAAAGCCTGGTCCCAGGTTCCTCTCAGCCTTCACCCCTTGTGGTCAGCCTTGTCTTAAGTGACAACCCAGCGAGAGAATGGGTACATTTCTGAGCCCATCTGGTTTGGGGTTACTCTGAACATCTGGTATCCTTTGGAGAGAAGGAGGAAGAGCGTGGAAGGTGAGGTCACTCTCAACCCCAAGGTCATCCTGAGAACCCCGGATCTGAATGGGAGGCATGTCCCTTCCAGGGATCCCACTGTAACCCTGATTCTTGGGCTCCAGTTTCTGCCACGACAAAGGAGCAGAACAACAACAACAAAGCCTTGGGTGAGGGGTGAGGGGTATTCTTCTAGTGCCCACCTCTGCTCCAGATCTCCCTGGCCAGGGGCGACAGGGGGAGAAAGTACAGGCTCCCCCTGTCACGTGATGCTCTGCCGTGTCCGTTTTGATGTCTCCTCTTGACCATCTTTCAGCTGCTGGGATATGAACGACAGCACGGCCCTGTGGTGGGTCATCAAAGGCCCTGTGGTTGGTTCTATAATGGTGAGTGTCCTGGGGACAAAGGGAACAGAAAGATAAGCTCTGTCACAGCTGTAGTATGTGCTGTAACACTGATGCACACATTACTAAGTTATTCCTCTAGGGTTGGGCCAGGCGTACTATTCCATTTTCAGTTATTATGAAAGGTGTTACTAGGAATAATTTTACACGTAATTTTGAGTATTTCTAAGTTTTTCTTTAAAGTAACTCTCTACAGATTGCTGGTCAAAGGGTATACATTTAACATTTCAGATCCAGTTTGCAAAAATGCTTCAATAGCTCGTGTCCCCTTTGGTGGCTTTGTTCCCCAGACACTGTGTACTTGCAGTGCCAGTCATTTGACGGGCACAGTCCTGTGGAGGCGGCGCTGACTTCTGCATGGTGTGTCTGTTTCTCTGTGTTGTTAGTGGGCCCGAGCGCTTCCAAATAGCCCTTTGGTGGCTTGCACTTATTTTGGACATTCCTGTGAACTTCTCTGTCCTCCGGCAGATTGTCTTTCGGATCAGATGAGGAGCAGTGACACCTCTTTGCTGTTTTGTCGTGTTCCCAGGCCAGCGTGACTGTTGCGTTGGGATCCTCAACCTTCATCTTTACAGTCCCCAGCCTCCTTTCTTGTTTATGGAGGATTTCAGTCAGCTCAAGTTTTGCCACCAATCTCCTCTTATTTTCTTCACAATACAGTTGTGGTTTCGATTATCAATGTATCTTTAAGAAATGGTGTATTTATTTTTTGTCTTTTTAAAACTGCTATCCATTTCTCTACTTTTCTATTTTTGATGGCTCCACATTTCCAATTCTCAGCCTTCTTACAGAATCTTACATGCTGGAAAGTTATTTATCCCAAACACCTATGTGTTGGCGACCTCTTTGTGCTGCGCAGATGCCTGCGCTACTCTGACCCTGCATGTTTCACCACCTTATATGTAAATTTCTTCTTTGTTCTATTGAACATTTCCCACACATTCACCCAGGTAGATTTTTGAATATCCTTGCTACGTTGTCAGAAAAATATCTGGTGGAGCTCTGCCTCGAACTATGTACCAGTTTGGAGGGAAATTGATATTCTCCAAGAACACCACAACATTCCCTGGCTGCCAGTCTTTCTTGCTGCCTTTTGCTTCCTCTGAGGTGTTCCCCAGCCTGGGCCTTAGTGGAATCCAGGGATCTTTCCATCACTGTGGTAACCGGTGGGTTATCGGGGCCATGAAGAGAAGCGATCAGTTTTTGTGATTTCTTGGCTGGGTTACATTTTTGAATTCTCTCATGAGTTTAATCCCTCTTTCTTTGGTTCACATGGGGTTTCTACATGGAAAATTATGTAACCTGTAAATGAAAACAGCTTTTGCCCATCTTTCCCAATATCTGTTCCTTTGGAGGACAATGTTTGCTCTAGTTTTTGGCAGTTGTCTTGCATGCAATTGGGCAAGGGTTTTTCCTGGCTGGCTTTCGTGTGTGTTGTTATGAAGCCGAGCACAGGTATTGCACTTATTCACATGTGCTGATGAGATGCTGCCCTTTGACAGAACAGTATCATCTGCCAGTTCGGTTTGTCTCTAGTGCCAGGGATACCTTTGTGTCTGGCTCTGAGCACGTGTGCTTAGGTCTTTGGGATCGATCGCTAGGAACATGGTTCTGGGACAGAGAGTGTTTACTAGTCACATGGCATGGACAAGGAGCAGGGGTGCTCACCTGTGCTCCCCGTGTCGATGCTGATGTGTCTATTACTAATTATTTGCCAGTCTCATAGGGATGACTGCAAAATAGTACATTTCTTTGCATTCCTATGATGAAATCTCTGTGGTCATGATCTGCTTCCTCTTTTCATGCACCACCAAATTCTCTTTGCGAGTGTTTCCCTTAAAATCTCTGCATTGTTCTCCATGTATTGGGGGTATGTCTGCCCCCCACCCCCCCGTGTGTGTATACTTATGTGTGGAATGGGGAGGAGAGAACAGATCAGTCTCTAGCACAATTCTTCAGAATTCTGCCCATTTGGGTTTTTTCTGAAGGGTTCCTCACTGGCTAGGAATGCAGCCCAGGATCTGCCTGTGTCTGCCATTCAGCCCTCAGATGACAAGCCCTGCTTTTCTTTCTTTTTGTTTTCTTAACACAAGTTCTAGGGGTCAAACCTAGTCCTCATGCTTGTAAGGTTTCTTCTCTCTCTCTCTCTCTCTCTCTCTCTCTCTCTCTCTCTCTCTCTCGTAGCAAGATCTTTTGAGATTTTGTTTTTATTTGCTAGGAAACAATTATATTTCAGGGAATTGCCTTTTCTTGACAAGTTCGTAAAATTATCTGGGCCTAATGTTTTCTGATGGGTATACTTCTGACGATGTTTAAGTTTCCTTCTGAACTTACTGCTCTTCTCAGACCTTCCATCTCTTAGTGAGTTGTTCTTGCTCGTTCTAGTTTCCTGGTTTCGGTCAGTGTTCTTACATGACTTGAAATAGTCTGTTTATCTCTTGTGCCGTCCTCTTTCTCTCCCTCCCCCAATATTTAATGGTACTTTCTCCGTAGCAATATTTGCAGAGTTTGTTCAAGCATTAATTAGACAGCAGCAGCAGCAGAAGCAAGCACAGCAGAGTAGGGGTGTCTTTCTTGCTCTCATAGATCTGTGAGACAAAGAACACAGACAGGGTCCCTCTCGATCAAGTCACCTATCACTTCCCGTTTCTTTCTCCTGACTCTACCTGCGCAGTATCCCCTTTGGTGTGCAGCAACTCTAAGACATCCCTCTCCAGCTTTCGCATCCCTAGTTGTTCTCAGGAGCTGTTATTGTTTTTTAAATAGAATTGTGTTGTTCTTTTCTTAAGGGCGACTTTGGCTCCGGCCCAGAGATGTCTCTGTGCTTGCTGTCTGCTTGTTGTGCCTCCTTTGCATGTATTTGCAGCCCTTCCTCCTCCTTTCGCAGTACACAAGCAGCTTCCCACTTTGTTTGGGAAGCATCTGTCCCTGATGGCACATGCTGCTACTGCTGTTCCCAGGCAGTCCTCTAATTAAGCCTGCTTTCACTGCTTCCCTGGATCCTGCAACTCTGAACTTGAACTTTCTCCTTCTCCCCCCCCACCTCAATCTCTCTATCTCTGCGGCAGGGTCTTGCTAAGTATCCCAGGCTACCCTGGAATACCTGCTCCTGCTGCTTTGGCCTTGCAAGTGCTGGGTTTGCAGGCCCGCATCCCCACCATCTGCTGAGTTTGGGGTCACCTGCGCAGTCACCCCTTTAGCTGTGCTTTTCCATCACCCTAGCCTTCTCTCCTTTCTCTTCCAGACAGGCCTTGCCTCCCGACTTGCTCTCCGTGTTCTCTATTTCCAGGTTTTTGCGTAGAATTCTTTTTCTTATTTCTTTGTTTTCCTTTGGATGACTCAGTGGGAGCCTTAGAACTCTGCAAGGGAACTTGCCTGGCTGGGAGAGGGTCCTGTTGGTGGTGGGGGATACCAGGCTGGACAGAGACTCGAGTTTGCCTTTCCTTCCCTGCTCAGGTGAACTTTGTGCTTTTCATCGGCATCATCATCATCCTGGTACAGAAGCTGCAGTCCCCAGACATGGGAGGCAATGAGTCCAGCATCTACTTGTAAGTATGCTATGTGGCTCTGTGGATGCCACAGCCATTTCCGACCACATGGCCTGCACTCGGGGTCACAGGCAGGACAGAGCTTGAACTTTGCTGGCAGGTTGACCTAGCATGGGGATTTGCAAGATTTCTTCCTCATTAAAGTGCCCGTGAACTACAACTGCCCTCCCAGGCCTCAGCCTACCCCAGCTCCTCAGCTCCGTGAGCCCTGCATGAAAAGGGAAAGAGAGAGAAAGACCGACAGAGCCTCTGTGGTGGCAGGAAAGGCAGCGGAGAACTCCCGAGTCCCTGGGGCAGCTAGGGTCTCCGTTGTTTAGAAGTTGGCTTTCCTTTGGGGATGCTGGTTCTGTGGGAAGATGAGCCCATTGGAGGCCTGGCTGTGACAGGCCACGCCCCCTCATCCACTATGCAGAAGCTGCTAAGTGCCTGGCAGTCAGCAGGGGGACCTTCTCCTTGGTCATGCTCTGCATGGGGATTCTCTTTCCTCTGCCTTCCTTCAGAACAGCTCTGTCCACCTCTGTATCTGCCTGGCCTTCTGCCTCCGCCCTCTTCGTCCCTAGCAGAGAAGCATTGGTTCTGTGACTGCCACTGAGTGCAAGGCTTTCGCTACGCTTATAGAGATTTGGCTTATAGGCATTTGAGTTCCCAAAAGTCAGTTGCAGTCACTACCTGCCCTTCCCCCCCAAAAAACATGACCACCTGGATCCTGCCCCTTCCCATTCTGAAATCAGACAGAGATCCTGTTGACTCACCCTCCATCCTGCCTCAGGAATGGGGTGTGGCGTGTGGAGACACTTCTAATGCTAAAGAGAAAGGTCACAGGCTCTGTCTGCCAGGTTGATTGGAAGGGCATGGTAGCAGCTGAGGGTAGATGAGGGTTGCCATGGGACTCTCGCCGCATCACTGGGGTCTTTATTAGAGACTCAGCCTGAGGTTTGCAACCTTGATGGCTTCCCTGAGTAAAGTGAGGGGGACAGCAGAGAGAGTGAAGCTGAGGATGCTGCCAGTCAGTCTCCTAGGGAGAAAAGGAGTGCTGCCAAGAGATCGAGTCCTAGATCCTCCTCCTTGAGGCTCCTTCGGGGGAGACAGCAACCACTGTTTCCCTGTGCCAGTGGGTAGCACAGGGTCTTTATTATATATACTTTATGTTCTCTACTTCTGCAATAACTATACAATTGAAAAAGGACACCTTTGTGGTTATATCCCTGTCCTCCCCCATGCCTGTTTCATGTTTTGCCATGATTTATTTATTTATTTATTTGTTTATTTATTTATTTATCTGGTTTATTTGCTTGTCTATTTTTTCATGTTTTATCAGCTATTTATTTATTTGCTACTCTTTGACAGCCCTTCCTTATCTGTAGGTGACAATAATAGGAAGTTATTGATATAAGTCATGACCTCTTGTTAGGGCAGTGGTTCTTTTGCTTCTAGCTCTGCACTGGAGAGAAAATCTTGTCTCAGGCAGTCACGGAGCAGACCCCTTCTCCCATCTGCTGCCTTCCTGTTAAAGTCGTGCCTCTATGCCCAGCCTCAGTTTCTCTTGCTTGTCTTGTGAGCTGGCTCTCCTGCTGATTGTCACCTCTTGTCATTGGAGCTGATGAGAAGCTAATCTAGCCTCATTTTCTCCTGAACACTATCAACCTTCCTCAGTCTCCTCCGCTTCCTGGTAGGATCTGTGTCTTACTCTGAGGCTCTTAGCCATCTTCTTTGGGCTGAATGTGAAGATCCTTCTAGCTTCTCCCTGTGCCTATGCAGAGACACACCCAAGGAAGCTCTGGGAACCCTGATCACTCATTTGCCATAAGCCCTGTCCCGGATAATAACAATTGCTGCCCCTGGCCTGATGGGAAAGAACAGTGGTTCTTCCTAATGCATAGATAAGAACCACTTGTAATTAGCACATGCTTTATATATTATATTAATATTCACATGTTTATCCAGAACTGTGAAGAAACAGCTAGTTGGTTTTCTTTCTTAGCATAAAAACAGCACTTTCTAGGTTTGACCAGTGCTATTTGGTAGGAAAAAAACCCAAAACTATGATAGTCTCCAGCTTCAAAGATGAAAAACTCAGGCAGATGATATTTGTAAGGCTGGACAAGGGATTAGCTTGATCCTGTTGAATTCAGCTATGTGCCTGAGTGTTCCCGGGGTTAAGGGGACCTCACTGATCCTGATGGCAAAGCCTCTGAGAGCTGCTGATGTAAAAACACATACAGTTGATGCTTACAATCACACTGGGCAAGCTGGGCAAGCTAGCCCTAACTAGAAGGCCCTTTTACAGCGGAGGAAGTTAGTGTTCCATGAAGGTTGGCAAATCCAGCAGGGAGGAGCTAAGCTGTGGCCACAGTGCAGGCAGTTGGCATCAGTGCTGGCTTCTGTCACCCTTCCTGGTCTCAGGGAATCCACAGATTGTGAATGATAGGGTTAAGCCAGTGTGTACAATAAAAGACTTCCTGAATAAAGATACTTGGTAGGCTTCAGATGGCCTCTCTATAAAAGTATCCCACTCTCAGGGCTTTAGCGAAGCTGACTCTAAGAATAGGTGCCTGCACTGGGTTGGAGGGAGAATCTGGGGTGGGCAGGGCATGGCGGGAGACTCCAAGGCTATGCCTGTGACCCCAGATGTATGTATTTTGCTTCACTGTGAAGACCGGTCTGGCCTCCCCACAACAGCTCTCTGGTTTTTTTCCCTCTGTTTCCAGAACAAATTTAAGACTGAGAGTCCCCAAGAAAGCCCGAGAGGACCCCCTGCCTGTGCCCTCAGACCAGCATTCACCCCCTTTCCTGTAGGTTGGTTCCAGCTGTGCAGATACTAAGGGTTTGTCTACTGTCAACCAAGCTGCTCCTGGCTCAGCCTTGAAGGATCTGCCGGATGTGGGACCCTGCAGAGGGCAGGGGAGCCTAGGTCTGTGTTAGGGTCAGCAGGGGCTCAGGTTAGGGCTGTGCAAGCATTCAACCCTGGGCTGGGCAGGGTTGCATTGTTTTGGCCTGAAGCCTGCCTGAGTTTCTGCTAGGCACAGCTCCCTGTCTCTGGAGGGTGGTAGAGGAAGGAGGTTTTCTGGAAGATGCCTCGGTCCAGCCCTGACATGGCCTGGCTTCATTCTTAGTGCCTATGACTGGCTCTAATCTTGGAGGTGTGCATTGGAAGCTACCTCTTAGGTCTGAGGTGACGAGGGAAAACCTCTGTGCAGTCCCCCCTCCCCTCCTACAGGGCTTTTCCCACCTCCTTCCAGGACAGGCTCTGTATGTGCAGAAAGCCCTTCAATCAGGATATTCAGACAAGCATTTGGCCCTACAGGTACAGCCTTCCAGTCCCTGTACCCCATTACCCGCACCCTGTCAATGAGCATCTGCCCCCAGACTTCTATCAGGGGTGGTTTGGGGGAAACTGTTATCCTGAGAAACCCAGGAAAAGAAAACCACCCAGTAAGTCGGTGGCTATAAAGCCTTGAGAATGGTATGGACAGCCTCTGGGATCCCAGGCTCATTCTGCCTCCTTGCTGGAGGAGGAAGTGGGATGAGCCATGCTATTTCTGGGGAATGTTTCTTGGGGCCTGGGCAGTGTTCTGAAGGTGCAGGTGAGCTTAACATCAGGAAACCACCATGACCTACAGACTGCCAAGGAAGCAGTAGAACATGGATTCCTAGGCTCAGAGGCGAAGACAATGGGAGTGCTATCTGCACAGGGCATGGATACTTACTTGTCTGTCTAATATCCTATTGGATGTTTCCTGGGGCTGCAGTCCAGCCAGCCCCTCATGCAGAAGGCACTGTATTAACCTTGCACCAGATCCCCAGGATAGACAAGAGAGCTGAGAACCTGGAATAGCCCTGACCTTCCCACAGATGAATAGAAACCATGTCAGAGCTGGACCTAGTAGCCAAGGCTGCCCTGACTTGCAGAGGGGGCTCAGCTGCACCAGCCACTGGCCAAATTCCCACAGGCCAACTCCCACTGGCTACCAGAGGTCTCCATCTTCTGATCTGCCTAGCACATTTCTCTGAGTCTCCTGTGCTTCCTTGGACTCAGGGCGGTCTTCCAGGTTGGCCTGAGTGTATCTCTAGAGGAATCTTTTCTCTACTCTTGCCTGGTTATCCCGAGAGTCCTACACCCTGCCTTTCTCGTTGTCTGGGTCAGCTCTCCTGCCTCTGCTCGTCCTGTTGCTTTTCAGTGAGACTGTTTGTGAGTCACTGCAGGCCAGGGGCAGGGGTTTGGGAGAGGCCCTCCTGCCCTCCTTCTGTGGATAGTCTTCCCTGAGAGTCCCCCAGATATCACTCTTGCCTTTGCTGTGACCTTCATCTTCCATCAAGGCGACCCATCCCGGTGAACATATCACTAAATTGTCATTTGGTTATTGTCAGGAATTTTGAAAGGAAAACCAGAGGAGTCTGTGTTTACTGTAAAATGTTGAGGAACCCCAAGATGGAGGAATATGTGACAGTTTTGAAAAAAAAAGAGAGAGGTCTTGGGGGAGGAAAACTAAAGCTTGGAATTCAAGGTGACAGAAATTGGGCAGCAGATATGGGGGTGTGTGGTGTCTTAGACTGACCCTGTCTGCTTCAGCCAGGGTTTAGGGTTGTCAGCCACTTGGTCTGGATGAGGGAGAGGACAAGGCAAGAATAGCTGCTGTTCCTGTGGACCCCGCGATCCTTATTTACTTATTTATATATCTCTCTTTCTCCATACACACGCACACACACACACACATGCACACACACTCCAGTCCACTGTCATTTACGGAGAACACACAAGAGCCTTCTCATGAATACCTTGCGATAGGGCTTCTCCGGTACACCTTCAGGCTGAGGCTGAAGGGCAGCTCCTGAGCTGGCAGGGCAGCTGACCAGAGTGGCACCGTAGTCTGTTAGTGATGTGCAGTCAGGTACTATTCCTGCTGCTGGTCTGGGGATCCCTTGAGTAGCAAGGCATCTAAGGACACTTACACAATACAGCACCCCCCATAGGTGTTTTGAGATAAAAGATGCCATTTATTGAATGAGTACCGCAGGCCTGGAAAGGAATGGCTGGCTGGGCAGGCTTGCATTTAACTCATCTGCAAATACGCAATGCAAGTTCTTGCCTCAGCCGAGTAGCGTGTCCCCAGATTCTAATTGCCTTTACATCCAGCTGGTGTCAGCAGACAGGTCTCTGAATATGAAGGACCTAATTGCTCCTGCATGCGTGTCTCCATTAGCATCTAATCCACACCTGACCAATGCCTTCACTCGCCAGTGTGAGGTGCTCCAGAGCCCTCTATGGGTAGGTAACTTGTTATGACAGGACTCTTCATCTCTGGTAGGGAAACTAGTGTCCCTGGCTTATGCCAGCTCAAGCCTGAGAATCAGCAGAGGCAGGAGAATAGTAGTAGATGCCTCTGTGAAGGAGGACAACAGGCTTTTGCTCTTCACCCCCCCCCCCCCGTCCATATACCTGGATGGAGTAGTATAGCTTCAGGCTGACCTGTGGAGTTCCTCAAGTGTTCTGTGGTTTTGTATCCACATGGTCACCACTAGACTGTGACTGGAATTTTGAGATAGTAGAGTCTTCATTCAATTGGATTTTGATTAATTTTGATTTGAGTATTAGCTAGGGCAGTGGCTATATTAGTAGGCAAATACAGGTCAGACGCATGAACAGTTCATTAAGACTGGCCTGCCTCTACTCTCCTGTGTGTCCTCAAACTGAGAGGAGTTGGGGGCGGGGAAAGAAGAGATGATCAGAACAGCCATGGTAATCTTTGCTAACAAGCCTGGGACTCTTGTCTCCCCTGTGCCAACCCTGTGTGAGGTCCCCAGCCCGAGTTTCCAGCTGCACATCTTACTGAGTGACCTTGGCAAAGCCATGCACGTTCTGAGTCTGGGGCTGACACAGAGGTGACTCTCTGACTCCCTGTCTGATCCCCAGCCTTTTAATACTACTCGCCTACTAGTGTTCCCAGTGTGTGTGTGTGTGTGTGTGTGTGTGTGTGTGTGTGTGTGTGAGAGAGAGAGAGAGAGAGAGAGAGAGAGAGAGAGAGAGAGAGAGAGAGAGAGAACCATGCACACACACATATACTTATGGACATACATACATTCCTTTGTCCAGAGCTGACTCTGTTGGAGTCGTTAGCTTCCTCATTCTCCTCTGCGTGACTTCCTTAGCTTGTCCCCATTCCCTCCCTTCTCTGTCCTCCCTGCACCCCGTGAACTAAGTCTTCCCAAGCCCTACTGCAGTTTCTTCGTTGCCCAGTGTCCCCAGCTGACAGAAATGCTAATCTTGTCACACCCAGCAGCTGCGTGCAGAAATGCTACTGCAAGCCACAGCGGGCTCAGCAGCACTCTTGCAAGATGTCAGAACTATCCACCATTACTCTGTAAGTGTGTGTGGCCGTGGCTGTGGCCGTGGCTGTGGCTGGGTGCCCTGGAAGGGTGGGGGATGCATGCTGCTATCGCTGCCACCACCTGCGCTTGTCTTCCGTCGGGCTGGAGGAGTGTGGAGGGCCACCCGGAGCCTCCCAGCCTGCCCTGTTCCTGGCTGCTGCATGTTGATATGTGTCTTGTGAGTTCTCTGCAATTTTGTGGGTGGCGCTGGAGGGCATGTGGATATTGGAACTGTGGCATTGCAGGGACATCTTGACTTCGTGGCTATCCTGATGCCTGACTCATTCCATAGTGAGAAGTTAATGGCTGCTGATGAAAGTGTGTCCTTCCTCAAACCCCAGCTCCAAAGTAAGCAGTCAGTGACTGCTGATAGAAGCGTGGGCAACCTCAGATCCCCACTTCTCTGGGCTTTGGTCTTGGCAGTTGCCGAACTGTAAGAGCTCAGAGCTGGGATGAGTTCACTGTGCGTTGAGCACGTCATGTGCTTCTTGACTGAGTTCAGTCCCTACAAGCACCCCGTATGGTGGCTTCTTGCACTGTCTCCATTTTCTAGACAAGGAAACTGGAGCCTGATGAGGTGGAGTAAGTCACATGACTGGGAAAACACGAACTGGAACCTAGAGCATCCTATGAAGCACACCCCGGGTCACCTATGATACTCACACAGTGGGAGGTGTACCCTTCCTGACAGTCCACCAATAGTTCTGCGGACTCTGAGCACTAGAAGGTCTTCTTGGGACTGTAGGACTCTTCTTCCTATGGATGGTTCTTTGAGGTGGGAGGTTAGAGGTAGAGGCTATGTCTCTGTCTATCTAGGTTAATCGGTTTCAAGACATAGCTTGTCTTGGAATTCCCATTCCCAGACAGCCAGCTCAGACGTTACAGGTCCCACACACTGGGTTCCTGAAGCCTCTCACCTGTCACCACTTCCCTGTCTACCAAGGGCCCCGGAAGTGTTCTGAGTCCCTGGTTGTCATCCCTGCTTCAGAGCTCTGAAAAGATAGATACTGCTCTTGGGCCACATCCTACGAAACCCTCCATCCAGACCTGCATCTGCCCTGTGACTGGGAAGGGCCTGGCATCCTTCCCAAAAGCCAGTTTCTCAGTCTGAACCCAAGACACGGAAGACTGCCGTGAACCCTGGGAGGCTCCCAGGTTTTTTTTTTTTTCTCTGCTGGGTCAAGAACCTGGAATGGGTTCACTGCAGAAGGGAAGTTGGAGGAGAAAAGCAGGGCCCTCGCCTGCTCAGGACTCAACAGGACCCCCAGATAGGCCATGCGTATGCTTTTGTAGGCACATCTCCCAGACCTTCTTACTTCCATTCTGTCTCCAGACACACTCTGCTGCTTTCTGGTGTCAGATCCTGGGCACCGAGAGACAAGTGGGCCCTGGTGCCCGGGAGATACCGGGTTTTAAGGACTCTAGCTGGTTTTCCATAGAACAGGCATTTCCAGTGTTGACTATGTGCCTGGAGGTACTTGCTGTGAAACCTAACAGATAAAAGAGGGGCCCTCTTCAGGGCCACCAGGTATAGACAATGATGAGGACTGGCTGCTAGGAACCCATGTGGGCTCATGGAGAGACTCACTCAGATCCCATTGGCCCTGTCTTAGTGTAGGGACTATAAGATATGCTGCCTTTGAGGCACTGTGAGCCCCACAACTGTGGGTTTTTCTTCTAAAGATCACCCCAAGCTTCTGTTCCTTTCTCCTTCCCTCCTCCCTCGTTCTCCCCCCCCCCCCGCCACTTCTTGTCTTCCTCTAATAGAAGCTGGGATACCAAGGACATTATTCAAATCTAGGGATTTTTTTTCCCCAGAGAGACTGGGAAGGGGATATGAAGGGCACATGGTAGAATTGCTTCCAGTCAAATGGTCGCCTTATATTACAGTCCCCTTCTGAGGGCTAAGCTGTGTCAGGATAGGGTGAGCCTGGTGGTTCCAGGGGGCTGAATAAAGCTGAGGAAAAAGCACCTGCAGAGGAGAGCTAGACTCTTTGGGGAGGCTCACAGGGGACCAGTGTCCTGGGATGGGACCCTCTCTGGGAAGCCCCTTTGATAATTTACTCCCCCAGAGTAGCATTCCCAACCCACGTGTGTCTGGTGTCCTCACTGTGACCCTCTGTCCCTGTATTGTTAGATAGGGCCCTACCTACTCTTGGCTCTGTTGCAAGAGCTAAGAACAAGAGAGGATCCTAGGACGCGTGGTGGGCTCTCTGGCTCACCCATCCTTAGGTCAGACATCCTTCTTATCCTTTGACTCAGTTTCCTGAGCAGCAGCTCTCTCCTGTACAAGTAGAATTTCTGCTCAGTCCAGAAATTCTTACGTCCTTCCTTGAAACCCTTCCAAGTTCCTTTATGGTTCGTCTAGAACCCTCCCTCCTGGTCACTAGGATATTGCTCACAATATCCCCAGCCATTCCCAGACTCGGAAAAGCCCTGTCTCCATGGGTCTTCGGGCAGCTGTTTTTGAGGTCAGGTGGCTTCCCTCTGAGCCAGGACAGATTTGTTTTGACTCTAATCCTATCCTGAATTTTCCTCTGATTTTATACATTTACACAAGGGGGCCCTATAAATGATGTATTTTCAGTGGTCCTGCAGGATACTGACGAGGTGCCCTGCAGACTGGGGAACCCTCCTTACAACATCCTAGGAACCCTGGGCTCTAGTTGGCTCCCTCACTCCCAGACCCATTGCATCAGTAAAGAATGCCAAGCAGGTTTGTGAGCAGGGGCACTGAGAAGTAGCCAGGGCTGGTGACAGGCCCTCTGCCCTCCCTGCCCCCAAGCTCTGCAGTTCCCCAGCAGATTTTTGCTTTCTCCTGACAGACGGCTGGCTCGCTCCACCCTGCTGCTCATCCCACTGTTTGGAATCCACTACACAGTATTCGCCTTCTCTCCAGAGAACGTCAGCAAGAGGGAAAGACTCGTGTTTGAGCTTGGGCTGGGCTCCTTTCAGGTAGGCATGGTGCATGCAGAGGGCATAGCTCATTGGAAACTGAGCCCTGACCTCTGACCCACGGCCAGCTTCGTAACCCTGTGCACCTTGACTTCCAACCTCAGTGTTCGAATATAGGTCTTCTACAGTCCTTTCTGCTGCTCTAAGATGCGACAAAGTCTGGCTGTCCCCGTGCCTGGGGATCCTGACCCAGGTCCCCCTGAGTGACTTGAGATGAAAGTGCTCTATAAAGCCCTGGAGATAAGATAACTTCAAGTCCCTCATGCCGTGTCCACATCCTAATGTCAGTCATGTCCTCCAGCCACATGAGGACTGAAGTTCTGTCTTATCCACTTGAGTCCCTGGCACAGGGGAATCCCAGTCTAGGGTTAGAGAACTGAGTGGGCTGGAGGTACCGGGACAGATCCTTAAATGAATGGGTTTGGGGATGAGCAGAGGAACGTAACAGCAAGTGTATAGGCAGGAATGAGTAGGAGGCTATACTGTGTGCATGCAGCAAGTGTGTAAGCAAGAATGAGAAGACTATACTGTGTGCACGTAGCAAGTGTGTAAGCAGGGATGAGTGGGAGGCTGTACTGTGTGCACGCAGCAAGTGTGTAAGCAGGGATGAGTGGGAGGCTGTACTGTGTGCACGCAGCAAGTGTGTAAGCAGGGATGAGTGGGAGGCTGTACTGTGTGCACGCAGCAAATGTGTAAGCAGGGATGAGTGGGAGGCTGTACTGTGTGCACACAGCACAGCTGGGAAGTGAATAAAGATGCTAATGGGGGGTTGTAAGGCGAGCATCTCTCCCTGTTTAAATTGGTATTTGAGGGTGATGATCAGAAATTCCTCTGCACACCTGACTTGAACTTTAATGCAAAGTCCTTTTCCCCAGTTCATGTTCTGGCAAGGCTTGGAGCATGACAGATAAAGCTCTGGCCCAGGAGTTACAACCCACTGAAGGCTCCCATCTTTGTCTTTGACAGCATAGTCTAGCCATCATTCATCTGGCATTTTCAAATGAAAGCCCCAGGGTACTGAGTTCCTACAGACCTGGTTTCCAGCATTCAGGAAAAGGTTGCTTTGTTTCGTGCTGAGAAGCTGAATTCACGCTCTGCCAAGTACTCACCACACATGGGTTGCTGTGCTATGTATAAAAGCAGCTTGCCAAGGGAGGGCAGAGTAGGGGGTAGTGATGGACAAAAATCCTAATGGTCTGTTCTGTTCTGAAGGAGCCCTGCTCTCGGGGGCCTGAAGACTAGTGTCAGAGTTCAGAGAACATTCTGGCTTCCTCCAGAAAGGGCTAATGGCTTCCCTAGGAAATGGGATGAAGATAGTCTTTAGCGATGGGAAGGATTTGGCCTGTGAGTGTGAGGGCTAAGATGAGATGCCTGTCAGTGGGAACTGGTCTATCCGCTGTTTGGCTTCATGGACGCATCTGTCTTATCCCGTCTAGACTGCGATGTTTTTGTTTTTCCTGCTATCTTTCCCACTACCATTCCTCCCACATGCTCACAGTGTCTCAGGAGGTCCCTTGCTTGTAGGCTCATGGATGTTTGTGTTCTCTCCCCAGGGCTTCGTGGTGGCCATACTCTACTGCTTCTTGAATGGGGAGGTAAGACACAGTCTTCTGACCTTTCTCAGCAGGGCACATGGCGGGTGTTGGGGAAGAAAGTGGGAGCAGGTTCATCCGATAGGATCTTCCAGATTCTGAGGACTGAGAACAGGTGACAAAAATGTCAGTGAAATATGGTACCAACACCTCCTGGGATCCCCCACCAGTTCCAGAATTACTCCAACTCTGCACCCTAAGGCCGAAGCAGAAAAAAGAATATAGTTGGTGAAGGCGAATCTGCTGAGAGCACAACTCCAGGGCACATTCTTTCCCAATGACATGCCTTAGCGAGCAGGAGCAGTGCCTATAGGTCATCAGGCTGTGACAGGCAGTGCCACCGAGCCCCAGTAAGCCAGGCTGACTATCCCTGCTAGCCCAGAGCCTAGGAGAACTTAGAAGAGACTGTAAGGAGAAACCTGGAGCCTCCCTGAGGTGTTTCATTCCCAGAGCTACCATTCGGGGCTCCTTCTCTAGCCTGCTGGGGTAATGTTCTGGAGCAGAGCCCAGGATAAGGGTGCCAGGGAAGTGGAGGGGACTGGCTGTGTGGCATGGGTTTGCAAGCAGAGAGGGGTCTTTTTCCTGAGTCTCTGGGCTTAGTGGAAAGATCTTGGCCTCAGCAGACTCTTCCCCTTGTTTGTATCTAAGGTTAAAGATAAGCATCCACAATCAGAAGGCCAACGTAGATCAGATTATAACAGACTGAGAGAGCGCAGAGAGGGCTTTGCTTAAAGATCCTAGGAGAGCCAGAGATAGGAGTCTGGGCAGCTTGTCTGGAGTCTGCCGAGGGAGAGGAGGCACGAAGTGGGGAGAGTGGGTGTGGGTGCTGCTTCTAGTCACGCAGTGTGTATACAGCATAAAGGTGCCCGGCTGAAGCAGCATATGGCTCCTTACGCTTTCTTGGCATGGCCACCATTTACATATGCAGAGCTACATGGGGTTTGCCAAGAGGCATGGGCTATTTTATAACTCTTAGTCTCAGGAATCTTCTCACCTTGGAAGTGTTCAAAGCTGTGGATGTCTAGGCCTTATCTAGGGATGTTGCTATCATTCTTCATGGGCTTGGGGCATCTGGGATATTCCAAGCAATTTGAGTAAATCTCATATGCATCCCACAGTGGCCAACAAGGGTGATGATCTTTATTTGGTCCATTTGCTTCAAGAGGTTGCTAGGAGAGCCTTCTTGGCAGTTACAGAGGAAGCTGTCTGAGGACCTTGCCAAGACAGAGTAGGAAAGGGCTGCATGATACAGCTAGGGAGTGGGAGTTGGGTGGATAGTCATGATGGCAGCTGGGAAGGTACCAGGCCAGGGCATAGAAGCTGCTCGCTGGGAAGTCACGTACACATTGCTTATTGCAGGTACAGGCAGAGATTAAGAGGAAGTGGAGGAGCTGGAAGGTGAACCGTTACTTCACTATGGACTTCAAGCACCGGCACCCATCCCTGGCCAGCAGTGGAGTGAATGGAGGGACCCAGCTGTCCATTCTGAGCAAGAGCAGCTCCCAGCTCCGCATGTCCAGTCTCCCAGCTGACAACTTGGCCACCTGAGCCCTGTCTCCCTTCTGTACAGGCTAGGGCTGCAGGCCGGTGCCTGCGCTTGTTTGTGCCTCTTCCCTCTCCTTGGGCAGGCCCTGGGTAGGAAGCTGGACTCCTCCCCAAGGGGGGAAGAGAGAGATAGGGTGTAGGCTGATATTGCTCCTCCTGTTTGGTCCCACCTACTGCAGTTCATTGAGCCCAATCTGACATGTAAATACACCTCAAATTTGGAAAATTGCCCCATCTCTCCCCCCAATCCATGCCCCTGCTCATCTCTGCCAGGTTCCAGCTTGACCTACTGTGTCAAGCCCAGCCTCAGTGATGGCCTGATCCCAGGTACAAGGCCTTGTGAGCTGAGGCTGAAACATGCCTGTCTTGTTGAGGCTGGGGTAGTGCCTACCCCAGAAGCTTTTCACTAAATTGACTTTGGATGTGGGCCCCTTCTCAGCCTGTTCCGAGTCCTGAAGCTGGCCAGAGATGCAGCGCAGTAGCCAGAACCTTCTTTGAAGTGAGTCAAGCTGAGACTCCTTTTGCTTACCCGACATCTAGGATATCCGGATGCTTAGCTCCCGTGTGCCTGGATGATGGGAGAGCTACAGGGCTCTTTCAAAGGTTGGGGTGGGGGAGAGTTCTGGTGCTTTTCATTTGATCTAAGAGCTGAGAGCTAGAGATGCAGATGCATTTGGGAAAGAGATGAGCTAGCTGAAGTTCTTACCATGTCCACGGCTGTACCCTGACTCAAGACTTGATCATGTGGTAGCTTTATTTCTACCCTTCTTGCCCACAATGAACGGTCGGAAGAAGCCGTTCTCCAGCCATGCCAACCACAGGGAGCCCCTAGCTCTCTCCTCTCTCAATTTCCCCTGAAGTCAAAGCCATGTCTAGAATGAGCCAGCCACCTTGCAGTGATATCAACGAGTTCTGAAGCAACTTTCAATTTCCAGGGCTCCCCACAGCCCTGCCTTTCCTGATGACAATAACGGTAGATGCCGCCCCCAGCCTGGACTCCATTACTAAACTCAGATGTCGGCAAGACTTCCCCCATGTGCCCTTGACATTTGAATCGCCTGTGGGCCTCTTAGGGTGCTTGGAGGGGATGCTGTGTCTGTGGTGTGCATGAGCAGAAGCTGCTGATGGGAGGAGTGGTTCTGGCTCCCCAGCTGTATGTTGCATAGCCATAACCTAAGGCTTTAAAATAAGGCCAGATGTGGAAAGACAGAGGGGAGAATGTAGTGCCATAGGACCATGTGGCTCAGCTCTTTCCACGTGGATGCTTGTTTTTGTCCCTGCCTCTGTGGACTTGTTTGTGGCCATGCTGTGGAACGCATGGGGAGCATGGGAAACCTCTTTGCTTGCTGTTGTATTAAGTAGAAGGAGTGATGGAAGATTTGAGACCGCGCTGCTGGAGGGGCTGTTAGAAAGCCTGGAGAAGGTTCTAGATGATATGATGTAAAGATGAGCTCTGTGTTCTTGACCAGTGAGTTCAGGTTTTGGGTCTCCGGTAAATCCAGAAGGGAAAAGCACCTCCTTGCTCCTTCCCAGAAACATTAGGGGCTTGGACCAGCCACTGGGTGTACATTGACCCTTTACCCTGCACCTTATCCCCCTTCTAATCCCCTCTCCGGTTCTGAGAGCAAGGTTATCAGCTACACAAGAGTCAGTTGATCACGCTGCACTTTGGACACGGCTAGGGAGCTTGAGCTATTTAGAAGAAGCCACGGTTTGGGATTTCCACTGGTTTAGAACGTTGTGGCTGTGAGCACGTCTGTGCTGTGCTAGACCTAAGCATCCTTGGTTGCGAAATGAGTTTTTTTTTTTTTTTTTTTTTTTTTTTTTGTGCGTCTCCAGGTTCTGTATTAGTTAAAAAACCGAGGCAGGTAAACAGACACATACTCTTGTGTATATCATCCAAGGGGTGTGCGCGCACATGTCTGGACACATGTGCATGTGTGTGGACGCATGTGCATGTATGTAGATGCATGTGCATGTGTGTGGTAAGAGGAATGACGTTCTGTTTGTTTTCCCATTTGGATAATACAGTGCAAGTGTGCATAACAGAGGGAAGCTCAGGCCATGGTCGTTTGAATAGGGCCTCAGATGTGATGGGCGGAGCTAGCCTTGTAGGCCTGGCAGGGACAGGTTGCCCATGGCACCCTCCATCCAAAGTGCAGCTCCTGGCCTATGGACCCCGTTCATTTGTCATCACCCCCCCCCATCCATGGGTCTGCTTCACTGTGGAAGAAGAAACTGTGACTTTCTAGTTACTTCACTGCAAAACAGCAAAAACCAGATCAACCCTGAGCCCTTGCTGCTTCCTGAGCCCCCGCTGCTGCTTCCTGAGCCCTGGAGCCTGTGTCCTCCTAGAAGTTCCAGGTTCCTGTTGCTTTGTTTGTTTGTCTGAAAGATTATTATCCAGATGATTAGTTTGCTAGTCTTGTGAGCAGATGTACCCGAAGGATTCTGCGTATTCTGGGAGGGTCTGGCTCTCAGGCCTCAGGCAGTGAAGGGATAGTGCAAGGCTGGGTGCTGGGTTAAACCCTTCCCCCTTGACCCTCTTACATCTATAGTGCAAGCAATAAGACTTACTGATCTGTGTGTAGCCCAGTGTACCTCTGGGGTTCTGTCTAAACACCAACCATCTTCTCTTGGAATGGATCCCAGGCAAGGCTTGCAGCAATACAGCCTGGATCCAGAGAAGGGGAAATGGTTGAGAAATCCTGTGTGGGAGGTGAAAAGGGCTCCAGGGACTTAGAAACCCCGAGGTAGTAGCCCAGTAGATCCAAGAGGCACCCAGCCTATACAGGATCATTCCTGGGAAGTGGAATCTTGTTCTATGAAACCCCAGAGGCCAAATCTCATGGACCACATAGTGTAGGGGACAAGACATCCTTGTCTTGTCTTGTCTCCTGTCATGATTGTCCTGCTTCAGGGTGAGCAGGGTGTGCCAGCAAAGGGTCTAGTTCTCACAAAATTAGATTCTACATCAGGCAGGCTTAGGCTGCCAAGCAGTCAGAGGGATTGGAGATGCTGCACCTTTGAGCCTCAGCCTCCATTTTCGGGGTGCAGTGATGAGGTCCTCCTTGACACGCTCAGGAGCCCTCGATGAGTCCCCTCCTAACCCCATCTTCCCTGAACTGACTTCTCTGTGGACAGTGATGGGAACCTTGACAAGGGTCCAGTGCTGGGAATAACCCTGTCCCTGTTGCTCAACACTAGGACCTCTTCTGTTTGCTCTGTACCCTCTCTTCCTTGGGGGGAAAGCTGTGCGAGACTCTTTAATTCATTGTGTACCTTTTGTTTCATAAAAAGAGAAGGCAGCAAGTCCTGTGACACTACAAATTCCATTTGAGCCTAGTGAGCCTGGAAACCAGCTAGAAGAGCCTTGAGCAGGAAGCCTGGGACTTGGGGCTCCCCAGCTTTGCCGCTCACCTGCTGTTTGACCTTGACTCGGCCCTAAAAGGGGAAACTCAAAGACTATTAGAGCTGGAAGAGACTCGGATATCTGAAGGCAAACCTCCGTGGGCTCATGAGGAAACAGGTGGGCCTAGTGTGTTTTTGAATGAGAAAGTGGCTCTACCAGTATTACACAACCCTGCATGTGATCCAGATGGAGCACTCCAAGCAGCCATAGGATACAATGTACCACTTGCAGGAGTGGCTGCACCCGCAGAAAGTCCAGGGGTCCATGATACAACACAGAAGAAGCAATGGACTCGGTGTAGTAGAAGGATTACCTGCACCAAACCTAATCCTCTCCATCTGTTCTGGGACTCCACACTTTACCCTCAACCCCTAACCTGCAACGGTGTGGCCATGGTTACATCATCATCTGCCCCCTAGCTAGGGAGGAGGTGGAAGTGACATGCTCCCTATTGGTTTACAAGCTCTGAAACAACACAGCTGTGTGCTCATTCTTAGGGTGAAGACCCCTGAAAGGTATCCCCTTGCAACCAGCCTACTGCTTTGAGCCCCCTTGGGTTAACCGTTACCCTACCGAGGGTGAGAGCAAGGCCACAGGGCTTGGGTGGACACTGAATTCCAGCTTTATCCCCATCACTTTGTTCAGTTTGCTTTGAAGGTCGGGATGGGAGAACTCTGAGTGCTGGACCTCTGTGCCATCTGCCTAGGAACCCTTCAAGAGTGTGGGACATTCCTCTGGTGGGACCGATGCCCATTCTTTCTCCTCTCCCTGAACTCTGGGTCCTGTGGTGTGTCTGTACTCAGCCATGTGTGTTTTTCTGTTTGCTGTCTGTCTTCTGAGGCTTTGCGTCTGTCAGGGCTGGGGTGGTTCAGCCCTGGGTACCCCAGATGCGGCTCCAGGCTCATTCACGGGAGCTGGACCAGCCTGGGTTTAATTTCCCACAATAAAGATAAATCCCACGGACCTCACTGCTACCGCTGCCTCCATTAATGCTGTGCTCACACCCTGTCTGGGATTTGAAGGATGTCATACTGCTGTAGATGATCAATAAATGTCTTATCATTTTCCCCGGTGCCTGTTAACTGCTGAAAGTGGAGGGAAGGGAAAAGAGGCAGGGGGAGAGACTACTTCCCCCAGATCTGATTATCCCAGAGTAGGCAGTCTGCGAGTCCTAGTGGCCTTTGGGTGAAAATGGGACTGAGTGAGCTGAAGATGAAGGAGGGAAAGAAAGGAAACCCTCCCCTTCAGAGGACACCCTTGTGATGTGGGTAGAGCTGGGTTCGCTTGGATGTCTGGAAACAGAAATGGCTGACCCTAAGGTCTTTGATGCCTCATAACTTTTATGAAGTTTGGTGGGAGCGGCCCCCAGATTCCGAAAGCTTGCCTGCGGGGAGTGTTTCAGCTCAGCCCAGGTGTGCCCGTGGCTGGCAGTGTTTCAACATTCTTGGCGAGTCAGAGCCATCGGCCCTGCCACAGCAGGTAACCCATTCTAAGTAGCACTCATTTCCTTAAGGGCCTAATGATTGTTGTAAGTCCCCTGCTCACTGCGTTAGTCATGTTTTGATTGCTGGCCACAGAAAGTCAGAAAAAGAGTCATAGAATTTGTGTCAGGGTGAAGAAACAAGAAGAGTTACCTGAAGCTACCTGCCATGCCCCCAAACTGATGCCCAGGCTGTGGTTGCAGTGGCTGCCACCCTCCCAGTGATGCATCCTTTCTGTTGGGGTCTTGATGCTGATGTCGTCACTGCCTCTGAAGCCCATAGCTCGAGGCAATTCACCAGCAAAGCATCCGACAGGTAGCATCCTCTCTCTGGTTGTGTGTTTCTTGTCAAAGCCTCGTCTGATCTTTGCCCGGGGCTGTTCTACCTGCTGGCGTGGTGTTCTCCTGGATGCATCAGGGAGGAGGCCAGGGTTTCAAATCTGGAGATTTTTAAATCATTCCCGACTATTGAGGAGGCCTGAGAATAGGAAGTGCTGACCACAGACATGACCTGGAGGGCTACAGCCATTACAGAGCTAGCTCCTTCCAGTTACCAGGCCACTCTAAAGTGGAGCCAGTGAGATAAAGGCCAACAGATGTCAGCCTTCCACCCAACAGGCCATGGAGGCCTCTGACCCCAGTGTCTAGGAGGCTGTCACGTCGGCTTTTCGAGGCTACACTTGCCCTTTTCTCCTTCTAGGAGATTGACTGGCCGTGCCCCACAACTCACTTAACAGACACCTTGTTCTGAATGTTAAGCTCTCTGCAGGTCAGAATCTGTTGGCTGCTCCTTCAGAAGACCTTTCTAAGCTGTGATTGTTTGACCAGGACAAGTGGAGGTTCCATATTTCATTCTCAAAGGTCATTTCCAAGAAGCACAGGCAAAGAGCCAGACGTGAGTTGGAAATCTTGAGTTCCATATTAAGGAGGAACTTCTTGGCAAATGTAAATAACAAACTCTTAGTTCATGGAGTTAATAGTTCTCAACACCGAGAGCTGTTCCAGCCTCTTTCTCCCCCTGTCCCAAGGAAGCCCCAAGCTCCATTTTTTCCTAGGTAATTCCTGGTTTTTCTTTGGTAACCACAAGTAAAATCCCATTCAGGAATCCAGAGTTCTTAAGCTTTTGGCTGAACCAGAGCCACCATGTGGCTGGGCCCATCTGCAGTTTCTGATGCAGCATGGCTCAGTCTGGGCTTAGCAGTCTGCGGTTACTGCCCTTGGAGCTAGCGCTGTGAGATCCACTGCTCTATCCATCCTGTCCGAGGGGCTGTGGCTGGACATGGCGGCCTGCTTGTGAACCCTACGCTTGGGCAGTGGTTCAATTCCTAGGGGCTAGATAGCAAATAGACGCGGACAGAGTGAGCTCACTGTTTTAGGAGGCCCAAAGGTCTGAAGAACGTTGGCCTTTAGATGTCTTTTGAGGCTTAGTCATCCTTCCTGGATCCTGTAGACCATCAGAGATAATCTGAGAAGCCAAATCCAATAATACCAAGAATACAAACTGTCTTGAGTCTTAGTGCCATCTTGGAGATAGTTAGGGTCAAGTTCAGAGGTCATAACTGAAAACCCCCAGTAAAAAGTGACCTAGAGGAGACAGAACTTTATCTTCCTCACATTAAGTCTGCAATGGGGAGCTCATAACTGGCAGTGTGGTTCATGGTCCCCCAGGCTATCTCTTGACATGTACATTGTTAGCATGAGTCCCACCCCTAAGTCAAAATGGCACCTGGAATTCTGGAACTAGACTCAGAGCTAAGGGAGAGAAAGCAGGTATGTTTCTCACTTACCTCCCATTGGCCATTATTTGGCCATATGACCACACCTCACTCCAAGGCCAGTGTCTTAGTGGCGGTTCTATTACCGTGAAGAGGCACCATGACCGCAGCAACTCTTATAAAAGCATTTAATTGGGGCTGACTTACA